TATCAATCATAGGAGTATACAAAACGAGGCATGGCACCCAAATTATGAAGGGAATTTCAACAAAATTCCGATTCCAAGTTTGCTAACTGAGCATTACTTGATCAATTAAGGGTTCAGTATATCGTATTGAACCTGGCTGAATTCTGCCAATAGGGACAAATGTTTACAATTCAAAAGCTTGCAATCCAGCGGGAATTTTGCAACAATTTAAACATGCAACTTTTAGTAAACATTCAGAGCTTCCAAAAGGCTGTGGTTTCGGAGTAATTGGGCTCCATTTGGGTCGCCAAAAATCCATGGCATAGCTTCCCATTTACAAAGAATTTAGGCAAAGTTAAAACATAAAAATCATAGAAGACTCTTGCATCTATCAAATGGCTGTGTTTATGTGTCATTTGGACTTCAATAGGTCAAGCAAAGTCTCAGTGCAACAGAAGCAATATTTCTGAAAATTATCACAGTCTGCTAACAATGACATACATGCATAAAATGAAACGTATCTTCCAAACTACCAAAAATCTCAACTGGACATAAACATCAAACTCAAAGTAGACTCAGAGATCTTTCCAATGGTGGTCATTTGAGGCAATTCTGAGATCATTTGATAGGTTAACCAAGAGTCACAAGAACCTTAATTCTCCCTGGAATTTCACAGTCCAGCCATGACACACTTCCAAAATCATTTCCTAACTCTTAATCCATGCAAGGTAATAACATGAAGCCAATTCTAGCTTAAACTAAACTTATAAGAGTATCATCCCACAGAAATTTAGGACCATCAAAAGGATTTCAGTTCTCATTTTCATCATGCAAAGGAAGGCAAACTTTGTGGAAAATACAGTCATCATTTTTGCACATGCTTATGCTCAAACCATGCTTCATTCATGTTTCCATGCTCATGGGTCTGTAAGATAGTGATCTACTTACCTTTTGTGTCCCGAAAGGTGATCCCAATCTCCCTCCACCGTCCACTCCAGCAAGCTTCTCCAGCTCTCAACTAATGGCACAAAACAGGGCTGAACTTGGGCTCAAATAATGTGAAGTGTAGAGAGAGAAAGAGAGATTTATACTCCAAAGGTGGGAAGGTGGCACTTTGGGCTTGCCAAGTGACCTCTTCAAAGGCATGCAAGTTGACAAGCCGCGTGCTATTCGTCTCGCGCTCTCATCTTTCACTCATATTGCCACTCGCACTTCACCTTGCGCACTCCCTCTTCTTCTTCTCTCCTATCGTCGCACGCACTTCGCCGTTCGCTCTCTTCTTTCTCTTCTATCGCCGCGCTGCAGCGACTTCATGATGCTCAAGAAATTTGGGTCGTTGCAATCTCCTAAGCTCCTTCCAACTCCTAAATCCTATTTTCTCCCCCCTATCTAGGAAGGATTCCTTAATTTGGGCACTGACCCCCTCTGGCATGTTCTTTGTTCCATCTTTTTATGCTTCCCTTCTCCCTAACTTAAATCCTTACCCCCTCCTTTACAAATTTTGGTCCCTCCCTACTCCTAAGGTCCAAGCTTCCTTTTCGAACCTATGCCAATGTAAGGTCCTTACTTTGGACCAACTGCAGAACAAGGGTTTCTCCCTTCGTAACAGTTGCATTGTTCGTCTTCAAGATGAGGAAAATGTACCTCACCTCTTCATCCATTGCTCCTTTTCTGCTTGCCTTTGGTCCAATGTCCGTCAACGCTTTGACTTCCTATGGGTTAGACCCCAGGACATTCCTAATCTTTTTCGGGTCTTCATTTCGCCACCCTTTTCCCCCTAATGCCACAAAGTTATGGCATATTGCTATTGCAGCCTTGATGTGGACTGTCTGGCTTGAGAGAAACGCAAGGACCTTTAGATGTATAGCAAAAACTCTCCCCTCCATCTCTGAATCTCATACTTCTCTAATCTCTTTCAGGGCCTTTGCTACCCCACTTTCTCTAGTCTTTAGTTTCGATTTTATGTGGAAGCTGGCTGAACTACTTCATTTTATAAACCTCCACACCTAGCGTTAGAGTTCTTTGGAGTAAGCCCCCACTTTGGTGATCTTGGCCCCTCAGGCTATGGTACTAGCCAAGTTTATATGCATTTTCTGCTCCTTTTCGGGCCCCTTGGGAATTTTAGATTCTACCATTGCTGAAACAAGGGCTTTAATGGAAGGACTCAAAAAGTGTGTACTTTTTGCCGAAAAGTATTCAGCAGTTTGAGTTGAATGTGACTCAGTAAGTGTGATTACATGGGCCTCCAAGCAAGCCCCCCTCCATGGAGACGGACTCCCCTTTTCGATCACATTCATTTCCTATGCAGTACCCCGTCCCACAAGTTAAGCATATCCCAAGAGGCGTAAATTCAGCAGCAGGCAGCCTTGCTAAGGAAGGAGCTCACAATTCCTTCCTTGCTATCCACTTTTTCAACCAGGTACACTAACCTCCTCTCTGGCCCCGTCCTCTTATCTCTCTCTCCCCTATGTCTTTTCTACCTCTCTCTCTTCTTTCCCTCTCTTCTATCTACCACCTGCCTCTATGCTTCCCAATTCTTTGTCTTCTCCAGAAAAAAAAAAAAAAAAAAAGGGGGGGGGAAAAACAAAAAAAAAAGAAAAGAAGAAAGAAAAGACAAAGAAGAAGAAAAAAAAAAAAAAAAAAAAAAATAAAAATATATATATATATATATATATATATGGAAAAGTCTTCCCAACGCCTATAGGCGAAAATGAACAGTGATTTCGCCTATGCTCATCACTGTCCAAAGTTCATCGCACGGTCACGATTTTCCAGTTGTGTTTTCTTTTTCATTTTTTTTCTAATATATACTTTATTTTGCTGATGACAATCTTTCTTACTCACCCGTATCCCTCCTATCTTTCTCTTTTCTCTTCTCCACCCTCTGCTCCCTTTTTTTGATGATTCGTTTTACATTATCTGAAACCCCTTACTCCCTCTCTCTACCTCTCCCCTTTTACCCCTATTTACCTCTCATCTCATCCCATTACTCCCTTCTAGTCTTTATCTTGGCAACATGGGCTTCCTACTAGCCCCTCTCACGTCTTCGCTGAATGAGTCGAAGGGGCAGTTTGCACGCAACTTTAACCCTATATACCTCTCACCTCATCATCCTACTTCCTTTGAATCCCTATCACGCTCTAGCAGCAATGGTTCCCTGTTGGCCCCTCTTGTTGTGGCAGCATGGATCAAAGGGACAGCTAGCCCTTAACTTTTGGCGGATGACAACACTTCATCTTGGTGGACACCCTGCGCGAAAATTCCAGACCAGTGCTTTATATGTATTGGTGGTAATTTCTGGTTCTATGTTTCTCGGTGAAAATATAATTTAATTTTACCTATCTTTTTTGCATCTTCTCTACCATCCCTCTTGTATTCGGAGCACCCATCCTGTTGACTGCCATTGTTTACCACTTATGTGGCAATGCAACTACAATTTATATTAATACCAGTCAAACAGTTTCAAAAAATAAACCCTAAGAGTGTGTTATGCTCTCTAAAACCCTAGTTTGAGATATATTTTCTAAGGAAGCTTCCCTGCTCAAAAAATTCAGCAAGGCCAATAGGATCAAAGTGTGCCATCGGTCAGGAAAATAGGTGTGAAGTGTGCTAAATCCTATTGGGCTGACCCTAGTCACATTTGAGTAAGTCTTCATGACGGTTAGTTTTTATTTTTTAGCCATATTTGTATATTTTCCTTGAATTTTCAGGAACATAATTTGTATTGAAATTGTTAGTGGAAGCTTGAATTTCATTTTTGTCTATTTGTTTTGGTAGTAAAAGAAAGGTCCTAGGTTTTATTTAAGGTTTGTTTCTTATTTGCAACCGTGTATTGTGGCACTTAAATAGAATTCAGATTTATTAATAACGGAAAAGAGAAATGTTTTGATTTTATTGCCTTGATTTCCACATAGCCCCGTCCTAGGAGATTCTTAATGGAAAATGAATGCACACACAACTCTCCCCCCCCCCCCCACCTATTCGAAACACGCTTCCTATGGTCCCTCCCTCCTCTCTCATTATTATTGCACCATGTGTTCCTATGATGACCCTGGTTGTGAAATTATGATCATCATCATCGTCGAAGCCTTTTCTCAACTAAATGAGGTTGGCTACACGAATCTGAGTCCGCCATTGTGCTCTATTAAAGGCCATACCCTCAGTGAGGCCATAAGTGCATTCTTTTTGTTATTTCCTGGTCGTCATTTCTTAACTACTTCCTCATTCGTATTATTACTAAATTTGCATTCCATATACATTGTCTTAGTCTGGCTAATTTTAAAACCTTTAGTTTCTAGTGCTTCCTTCCAAAGTTCTAACTATATGTTGTCGTCATTTAAGGTCTCATCGATAAAAACTATGTCATTTGCGAGCAACATGCACCATTGTACCTCATCTTATAGGTGCCTAGTTAAGTCGTCCATAATGAAGACGAAGAGGTATCGGCTCAATGCTGGCTGTTGATGTGGAGATATTGTCACTGAAAACTCACTCGTCTCTTCACTAGTTGTTCGTACACTAGTTAGCACTCCATCGTATATATCACTCATGAAATCGATATAGTGTTTGGAAACTCCTTTCTTTTCCAACACCCACCAAATCAAATCTTGAGGTATTTTATCATAAGCTTTCTCTATGAAATTATGATGCACATTAACATAGTTAGGTTGTTTATGTGCAAATAAAGCTTAAACTTATTGCCTCAGAAACTCCAAGTTATAGTTATTCAAATCTCTCCATAAAAATTCATTGTCTAATTATTATGAATTTAACTATTGACCTTTGCCTTTTACATTTTCTAATCCAGTATTTATGCTATGTTCATATATAATTTGACTAGGCTCTCTCTCATTAAAGAAGACATGTCACCTTTGCTCTGTTCATGGGATCCATCTTTTTTTAATTTGTTAAACAATCCTGTTGGGAGCTACCAATGTGTATTTTCTCTTTTGATCTAAATATAATGCTTTCATTTTCACCATGTCATGTCATATTTGATGACCTTATGGAAAATTGTTTAGCAGTTGGTGTCACAAATTACTACTTATGAGCATGAGGGGAACTGGAACAAGGCTCTTGAGCATTATGATTTGCTTGTGAGGACAAAACAAATAAATCGAAGGGATGGAGAATCGGAAATATTGGCAACTGATAATTATCAGGGTGTCTCTCAAGTAAAATCTTCCCAATTTACTAGTGATTCTGGTTGCTGGAACTCTTACAAAGGTCTGATGAGATCATTGCAGCAAACTGGTTGTACTCATGTTCTGGATGTATATTGTCAAGGTTTGACTGCCCAGAATGGCCACCTTCTGCAAGATGCAGAATTCACTGAATTACAGGTATGCATTTACTAGTGTGTTATACACATAGACTTAAAAAAATTATTTCTATTCCTATTACTATTTCTGTTGTGTATCTTCTTGCTGACCATTCAAAAAATAATACAACATATAGATGTTGCATACCTTGTGGTCTATTAATCCTGTGAGTGGTGTCGCCTTGCAATGTCTGCAGTATGAGGCAGCTTGGCGGGCTGGAAACTGGGACTTCTCTTCACTTTCAGTCAGGGCCAATTCTGCACTTGCGGGCCATAATGTGTTTTATAAGCACAATCATTTTAATGAAAACTTGCATAGGTACTTCCTTTGGAGCTTTCCGTTGGTATCTTACCAAACATTTTTCACTTATTTATTTACTGATCTTTCCACATGAATTCCTAAATGAGGCTCTATGTCACATATTCTACATTCCATAATTGCTCTATGTTTTCTTCTTAGTTTTGAGGTATAACGGCTAGAAATCAAGATTTGGTAGCAGGGCATATTGACCATCTCTTCTCCATTTCTTCAGAAAAAAATGTTGATAGAAGAGATATCAAGAGTGATGTTAATGTCCTGAAGCGAGAAAGGACCCCATGCTTTGAGCGCTATGGAATGAATTGTTTTGTGACTTGCAATTTTACATGAGAGAATGTAGGATAAAAGTTGTGGTATTTTCTGTATACTATGTTACTTTCTATATTGTTGGCTTCAGATATTTGGTTTATAAATGGTTTCGGTAATTCTAAAAGAGGAAAGCTTGTTTTTTCAATGGTAATTTTCTTGTGTCTTTGGAGGAGGGACCCATTCAGAACATAATTTTCCTGATATGTAAACTAGGATTATTAAAAGTTAGGCTATGTGTATCGTCTGCTTTATTTCTTTTATTTTTTTATTTGGAAATGGTAAATCTTGAACTGCACCTCAAAACATCCCTATAGTTGTAATGTTTAGTCTTGTCATGGTTCAATGGCTCAACACTTGCATATTTCAGATTTTCATTGGAAACTTGACAGGCTTGTGCACGGCCAGGCAGCCTGGCCATGTCCTAAAAACGTAGGCCCTCAGCCACAAATATGGCCCAAGGTTTGGGCCCTCTTTTGTTTCTTGTTTTTTCTTTTATGTTTCTTCATTTCTTTTGGCCTGGCTTGGCCCTAACAGGGCCAAAGCCTCCGTGGCCCCGTTCGGGCCAGGCCGGCTGGCCCAACCCAAGCATGGTCAGTTCCACCATTAGTATTAATATCATAAAATAGTGTTTTCCCTCACTAGTATGTATATGGATAATTGTATAATACCTCTCTGGTGATGTCCCTACTATTTGACTTGGTAATAAAAGATCCATGCTCTATGTCTGCCTAAAGTTGTGACCTACTTCTCATTGGAGTGGAAAGATCCTAGGGAAAGTGCGTGACCTACTTCTCATTGAAGGGAAAGATCCATACACACTGTCCCAAGCAGTTCTCATTGGCCTGTTCATGTATTCGATGGACTTGAGATTGTCAGTACTACAAGGCTTATATGTACAATACACAGTGCTATGTTGCGGATTATAATTGTGGAGAACTGCTAGGGAAAGTGTGTGAAAGTGTGTTGAGAGATTTTTTTCTTTTACTCTATTGGTGCTTAAAGGGAATATCAAAAAGTTATTGAATTTGTGGAAGGATTTTAACTGCTTCATATCTGGTTGCACTTGGTTTCAGCCGTATATTAACCTTCCTTATGTTTGTAATCTTTTCTATATTTACATTACTGAACTCTTTTTTTTTTTTCTTTGTAATTTGTTAATGTTGCTCAATAAAGAAAGTGATGAATCTCCACTTAGAGAAAATTATTCGTTATTCTAAATTGGTTTATCTATTCCATTTGCTTTGGTTTTCTATTCTCATACTTTCTGTTTTTTATGAACTGAAATGTTATCATCTATTATTCAAATTGAATAGTTGCCTAAGAGCTTTGAAAGAGGGAGATGCAAGTGAATTCCAACTAAAGCTCAAGGAGACAAAGCAGGTATGAGTACCCCAGTTGTTCTTGTCTCTGGTTTTTCCTTGTCATTCTTGTACATATTATATATGAGACAATGGTTTTGTTTTAATCATGACATCGTTCTCATTTGCTATTCTCGAAACATGTCAGGATCTTGTCTTCTTGATTTCTTATTCCAGCAAGGAGAGTACTGAACATATATATTCTACAATACTTAAACTTCAGGTATTGCTATTTCAAGAATGTAATGTTTACTTCAGATGATACTTCTGACATTCTGCATTCCCAAACCATGTAAATTACTTGATGTATATTTTTGTAGATTCTGGATCATCTCGGCCAAGCATGGAACTTGCGTTGGAAGCCAATTTCTTGTCAAAAACAAAAGTTTTATCTGAAACAGGAGGCATTGTGTGAACCTATCATACCAAACATGGAGCAGGTTTGTTTACTTGTCTTTGTTGTTTTTCCAGTTACTGTCTCCTTATTTGTGCACTTTGATATCATTGAGCTCCTTATTTTCATATTTAGGGTAATATTTATTTTATATTTCATTATTTTGTGCTTCTATATATGGGTGGCAACTAGGTCGGGGTCAACCTTCCGGGCCAGAACTGGGTCAAGGAACGCGCCTGGGTGTTGGAATTAGTGGGTCAGGTGCGGGTCCAAATGATTTGGACCCGACCTAGTGCGGGTCCAAATGACTTTAACATGACTCGATTTGGGTCGGTTTCATAACTGGGTTTGGATCTATATATATATATATAATATAAGGTTACAACCTTATACTATAGAAGTATGTTGCACCTCAAAAAATTAGCAAAAAAGAATGTTCCGAAGTTGGAATACCTTCCAACTGATCATATCGACCTCAAGATGTATGGTATAAAGAAACAAAAAAGATTTCAAGTTCAAAAAATAATTCGTCTTGTAACAAGTTATCTGGACTTTCTATTTTCAAGATTTTGAAGTGTTTATAGATATGCTTAATCTTGCACCATTTTTTAAATTTTAAACTTCATAATTAGGGTTAAACATGGATTTTCAGGCCATCATAAGGTTTTTGATCCTGGAACTACATCTTT